CCATGGTAAAAATTTGTGCTACTTTTCCCTGCAGGAAGCCAGAGCCCTCTCCCTCAACCCTGTGGTTATACCCAAACACATGCACTACAAGGAATGATCCTAGTAAGAGCAGGGTATCACGTAGGCGAGGCACACTTTTGGCAGGGGAGTCACCCTGGGACCTCCCTCCCCACCAAACCTGGGTGAACATCAACACGGTTCACACTTTTTTTTGATGAGCCTGGATATGGTTGTGGACAAAACCACCATCACTTAAAATGTACTTACCATCTATGGGTTAGTATCCATAGCTACAGGGAATGTAATTGATAAGTTCCATATATACTGGTTTATCCCTAATAATATTATCTCTTGAGGGATTTTGAATTGATTGTTTAAATGTTTTGGGCTAAGACACTGCTATGACTAATAACTACCTGTTGACCTATATAATTTTAAAGACAAGCTCCCCTCACCTACAGGTAGAATAGAATTTTGCACTGATTACAAAACAAACACCTGTGGTTATTCTATCATGTACCAAGTCTGTGAAAGCTATACTACATCCAGTTGGTGGAAACTGCTGACCAGGTTCAGAATTTCCAGGGAATAATTTTAAAAAATGGATCTTGTGCCTACTAGAAAGTCTGAATCTCTATAAATCATACGAAAATATGCTATTCCATTCACTACTCAGAAATTTAGATTCCTTTTACATTTTTCAACTTTCTCATGTCAGAGCAGGAAAAAAAAATAACTATGTAGGAACAGGAATTTCTTTTTCTTTTTCTAGGAATCACAAGCCAGTCAATATCTTTCCAAGTATAAGAAGCAGCAACATGAGTTGAACGAAGCAAAGGAAAGGGCAGACATAGCAGAATCTCAAGTCAATAAACTCAAGATGAAAGCAAAAGAGTTTGAAAGAAAGGTATGGCAGATATTCAACTGTTCTAACTCATGAATAATATTTGTTTAGGGCTCATGTTATTGCATGCGTAGGTATAACAAGAAATCTCTTGTTTTCTAATTTAAAACTTTAAAAAAAACAACACAGTCTTCCCATATTTTACTTGTTATACTTTTAATAAATTATACGTGTCTAGGTAGTATGAAGTCCTAAGCATTTGAGTGAGATGCACATTGTGTTCATATTTCTCAAATGCTTAATTCCATATTAACTTGCAAGCTCTGAGTTTTGGGGTCTCGATTCACTTGTGTAGAATAGTCAAGAGTCCATGGAGCAAAGATGATTTAACAAAGCGCAGATGGATCTGCTTGAAATTCTGAGTGAACTCTTTCCATGATAGATAAGTGTGTGACTTTGTACCATGTCAACGTGGAGACCTGTGGGAAGATGTTTAAGCTCGAGGCATGAAGGAGAACAAATGCAAGAATCCTGCTCTCCAGCTCTCTGCTTCTCATTCCTGATTCTGTCCTAAAACACAGAAAGGATATCGCTGTTTCTGTGGTCCATAAACAGCTGTTCTGATTCAGTGTAGAGGCCACTGCCCTAATTTTACTGGCAAAGTGGCAGAGTGACAAAGAACACTGAACTGAATATTTGGTAGGGACAGGATGGCCTCAGCTTCCTTATTGAGATTTTCCCAGGAACACATAGTATTTCAGTGAGCCCTGGCTTTAGGAGAAGCAGTTAAAGGAGACTGGATAATGCGACATTAGCTACCCTTCACCGAGTGCCTGTAAAGCACTAAGCACACTTCCTAGCACAGACAGGCACCATCATTTTATTTTTTAAAAATTGAGTGTATGCCTAGCCTTCTTTCTCATTTATAAATGAATTACTAATAACCCTGCTAGTTAAGTTGATAGGGTTGCCAACAATAAATACTACCTTGTCAAAGGTTGAAAGGATTCTTTTGTAGGAGAAACTAAAAGTTGGTTATATTGAAGATATTTAGATATAAATATGAGAAGCATGAGTCATCGGCAGACTCCAGAGGTTTCTTATTGATGCTCGAATAGCTGTCTCAAGGATAAGTCCTATATAGAGAGGTCCGGTTAAGTGGTTTGAACTCTGGTCTCAATTTGAGAAGTGTCATGGCACTGGATGTAGGGTCTTCTGTGCAGAGCCTGCCCTGCAACCCCTTATAATGGATTTGTTTAGGGAGGAGCCACCCATGTGCTGCCATTGCGCACAGCTGCAGGAGGTCGGAGGACCTCCAAAGCAGATGCCATGCATTAGACTTTGACACAGTTATTTCCAACAAAGAATAAAATGAGTGGAGCAGAAATTGCTTCCAAGAGACCGGAGATGAATAGGAAAACCTTCCCTGGCAATGCAATGACTAATTGTTTCCCATTCACAGAAGAAAAGCCTGAAAAGCCTGAAAATCCCTCAACTGACATAAGCACAAAGAAAAGGTTTTCTGATAGAACTGTGTGTCAGGGCTGTGGAGCAAATTGGTGATGTGGCTGCAGAATTTTTCTCCTCCTGGGGTCAGCTGAGGAGGGCGCTGCCTTCACTGGCAAGGCAAGGCAGGCAGAAAATTGAGTGACTGAGCATGCCCTTGGGGTGGGGTACCTGTGTCTGCTTTCTGTAATGCAGATAATTGCCTCAATTCCCTGCCTGCCTTTGCAGTTAATGAAGAGTTGGCTAAGGCTTGCTTACCTCTGGGAAGGACTCGGTTTGGTTCTAGGCATGTGTTCCACTGGTGAAAGTCATGGGAATTTCACAGAACACACTGACATTCTGTTTTTCAGGTTCGTGAAGAATAAGCAGCCCCTGCTTTTAAAGGACGATGACTGGAGCGGTACAAGGAAGGTGCTGTTTCATGGCCAAAAATTGAATTTAAGTTGAATTTGAAACGAACATTTTTAAAAACACATCTATATGGCGTGAAAAGCAGTTTAAACAAAGTGATTAGAAAAAAATGTAATAAAGGGAATATCATTGCCTCCAAGGTTAATGGCGAGTTTTGATCCTCAAATGCAAGTAAACTATCTTCTTACATTTCACATGAAGGATTAAATTGATGCAAGAATCATTTATATTCTGATGTTAAAAAATGAGTGAATGCTTGATCTTTTGTCCACATTGCCTCTTAATGGATAGGGTTCATAGAAGACGTCCTTAAACCAATTATGCTTCATGGGGACTAGGACGTGTTAGTAAGTGGTTATTACTGAAGTTAGTGAACTTGGCTTGGTTCATCCCTATATCCGTGAATTTATATTTTTAGCCACTAATGGTGGAAGTTGATAAAATTTTCTCTTAGCACTACAATATACATATAGACACAGTTAGGCACCTTGAACGTTAGGTAAAACATTGCTAATTGGCACACATGTAGGCTCTCTGCTGGTGCAAACTTTAAACACTGAGGCATCTTCTTACACAGTATATTCAGTGATAGGTGACATCCTGGCTCTGTACTGTGTCAATTTAATCAAGTTGGAGGGACATACCAGAATGCCTTTCTCTGAGTGGTTCTGGATTGGAGTTGGTCACAAGAGAAATTTGCACCAGATTTGGCAGGCAAAAGTGAAGGAGCAGCTATTTGTTTGATGCTCATAAGGTCAGTGTACGGCCCCAGGCTCTGGGTCAATTTGAAAATATTACCCCAGGTCAAAAAGGTGATATCATCAGAGATCAGGGACAGCTCTCTGGAGGACAGCCCCCTGGACCTGCAGCTCTTCTGGCTCTTGCCAGTCTCATAGCTTCACAGAGTCCTACACAGGCATGTGTGCAGCTCCATGGCAGTGGGCACCAGCTCCTCTGCAGATCACTCACAGCATTGCCATGAAGGCTGTGGGAAGTAGACACAGGTTCTGGTTTATTCTATGGGCTCCCCTTCATCCTTCCTCCCCTTCCTGACTGCTGGTGCAGCTGACCTACAGTGATCTCAGGCCCAGCACCAGATGCAGAGGGAGCAGCCTGGCCTCCACCTCCTCAGCAGCACCCATGATGTGTAAGGTTGACTCCCTGTGTTAAATCCTTACTCCGTCATTCTCAGTGGCTCTGCCTCTCTGCTCTGGTTTATCCACGTGGCTCTAAGATTAATTCAGGGACTCAATAGTGTCAAAGGACCCAGGTTCATTCGATGTGTAAGGTTGACTCCCTGTGTTAAATCCTTACTCCGTCATTCTCAGTGGCTCTGCCTCTCTGCTCTGGCTTATCCACGTGGCTCTAAGATTAATTCAGGGACTCAATAGTGTCAAAGGACCCAGGTTCATTCTTGTCTGGCATTCTCAGTGTGAGGGCTTTGGTCTTTAAATTTGTGCCCCTCATCACGATAAGAGGACCACAGCAGTTCTGAGCATTCTCTCCTCATGCAATATCCTGTGTCTCTTTTTAAATCAAGTAACACCTTCCCAGACACCCTCTGGAATACTTTTCCTCATATGCTATTGACCAGATTTTACATGCCTGGGCTGAACCAGTCTAGCAGCAAGAAGAATGCAATTGCCAGGGTTGGCTCAGACAGATCAAGGCTGATCCTCCTGAAAAACAGGGCCACTCCAAGCAAGGGGAACCAAATTAGCTTTGTGACTTAGAGGGAAGGAGGGGCAGCACAGCCCCTGAGTGGACAATAGGGATGTCTGTCGTGCTGTATCCACAGCAGCGGGCTCCTTCTTAACATCTATCTCAGCCCAATCAGAAAATGCCAAACGTTTAATGTGTAACTTTTCTAAGATTGTTTTTCCTGGAATAATAATTTTTTAAAATCTTCCCTAAAAATAAGTTTGAAATTACCCTTTAATAAGCCAATATTTACATCCAAGAAACATCTCTATATCTAAAACCTGTCTTAGAAATTTGCTGTGGTCACATTGCCAGTCGTGAAATCCGAATGCCACTATCTCTCCATACCCCAGACACACACTCAGTAAAATCAGTGTCAGCAAACTTCACACATCCAGTTTCCATTCTTTCATTTGCACACAATTTAAATAAAAAGAACCAAGATTACCAGGTGGAAGAGACGTTAGGCACGCAAACATTACTTCAAAGGAATTGTTTTGTTTTCAATGGAGTCTTTAATACTATACTATACTGTTATACTAACACTATACTGTTTATAAACACCTGTCACAACATTATAGCAAAAACTATGTACAAGGTGTGGGATTGTGAAACTGAGGTCAGCTGATAGAGAAAATTGGATCATGTGGCAGGAATACCACAATTCAGAGTTTTTGTCCTATAAATTATAAACTTTGACTAAGTCACAAAAAGCCTGGTTATAGTGACAAATTAGGATTAACATTGGATAATTTCTTTCATATAAATTAATGATTAAAATTAAAAAGGATAGATCATCAAGTCAGCTGGGCTCTCCATTCTTTCCTTGCATAAAAATTTATATGGAAATCTAAATTTATTAGAAGGCTGATTAACAACATGCTAACTGAGCCAGAAAAGTTCATCATATTTATCTTCATGGCTAGGGTCACTTGGCTGTGCAAGCCTGGTATTGGAAGGTATAACCCAGCTCCAGAGATATCAGTTCTTGAATTGATAGAGCCCTTTTCCCTAAGTGGTCTTGGAGATACTGACATTCTCACTCTTTGGTGTCCCTAAGACTCACCATACTAAATCTTGTTGGTTACACTCTCACAACCATTTGTATAAAACTAGAGTAAACTACCTTGTCGAATCAATGGTCTTGATTTCCAGGCCCAGGTTTTTAACCCTTTCGCTAATGTGACTTCTGCTTCCATCTCTTCTCTCACCCATTATCAGTTCACCAGGTTCTGAATGATCTCCTAGTGATACATTTCTTTGGAGTTCTTGGTGGAAACCTCACGGTAGACCCCTGGGCAGACTGCAACAGGAATGTAAATGAATAAGACAGTTCTGTTCTAAGTTGAATTGGAATCCTTAGCATCCAGGCATTTATAATCTTAATGCAGGCAGGGGTTCAGTGAACGATGCTTATGTCTTGAAGCGTGAATGTGATACTGAAAAAGAGAGTTGGTACAGGTATTCACAGTGGTAGAATTGTCCGGTCTGACAAGACGTTTTCTGGGAACGTGGTGGAGAAACAGGAGATGAAGTCACTAGATATTAAGGATGCTTGTCCTGTGTTGTCTCGGTCTGTCTTCATTTCCTGTACTGGCTGGGTATTCTGAAAGAGGCTAGAACCAAGAAGAATGGACTCTAAATGTCTGCTGTTCAAGTCAGAATAACCTTTTTTAAGTATTTAATGATGGTAGTGTTTGGCAGGGCGTGGAAGGTGGTGGTGAAGAGTTTTAAGCTATTTCTTACATCTGTAATCAAAGACCCATGAGACAGTTATGAAATAAGTAGCTATGACGTCTGGGTCTTGTTAATCAATTTTAATCTCTCTGCTAGATGTTCCTGAGTTAACAGTGGAAAAACAAGTTTACCCCAGTCCTGGTCCTTATGTATATTCTGATTAGTGGAACACACAAATAGCAAAAGGTATGAAGCAAACAGGAAGTACACAATCAAACTAAAAATTTTAAGTGAATTATCAGTACCCAAGGAACTTAGAAATGCCTACAGAAGGTCAGCAATCTGACTCTGGGCAAAAACTATAGTCTGCTTTTCTTCGTTTTGTCTGTTTCTTTCCACTTCTTTACAATCCCATGTTTCATGCTTCTATCAGAAGAATAGGTACATTAGAGCACCGTCATATACACGATGGCATTTCAGATCTTCTCTACAAATAACAATAGAAGATGAGAACACCATTTATTTAAGCAAGTATAGCCTGTTTAATTTAGACATTGGGAAAAGCCTAACTGTATTTTTTTACACTGCATTATCCTGCGATCCCCCTGCCTTTTTTTCTCTATAAAAGTCTTGCATTGTTCAGTCATATGCGATTCAGTCAAACTTTCGGTTACCTCTTCACAGTAGAATCTTTATACTATAAATGGTTTGATAAAGGAAATGATGCCTTACCATGTTTTCTTGTGCTTTATTAGTACTGCTTGTTCTCTCATCAGTAGAGACATGAGACCTATCTACAGGGATAAAAAGAGAACAACCTTTAAAAACAACAACAACAACAACCACCAAAGAAGCTTGGCAAACACTCAAATTCTGCTTATTTCTATCTCAATATAATTACGTTATTAGAATCATCTTACTTATTCCCCATTTCATGTCTTTCTCCCAAAATAACAGCATTAAAAATACATTCAGTGTAGAAACCACATCGTCAGAAACAGAAATAAATTCTTATGGTTGATTCAGTTGCTCCAAAGAAAGAAATAAAGGCAGTTCAACCAGACCAGCAATTCCTGGCTCCTTAGGAGTGTTGGCCTGGTTCCTATGAACTGCTGACAACGGAAAAGTCACAGCCACGGAGGGGCTGAGAGTTGTGGTTGAGGAACAGGGTACAACGTCATTTCTCAAGGAAGGCTTTCCTTCTGGGCCTTGCTAAAACCTGGTCCTTTTATACATATCCTAGACTAAGGCAATTTTAAAACAGAGTAACAGAAAAGGGAGTAAGGGAATTAAAAGCCAAAACATATTAATTGTAGTCCTATGAAACTACAACCAGGGACCTGGAGGTTTTGTGGCTTCTAGTATAACAGCTCCAAATATATTTTCAGCCCAATTAACTGCAGAACTATAGAACATTCTTTTTTTTTTTTTTTTCCATGTTGCAAATACCCTGACATGGTTTTTTGTCTGTATCTTCTGTCGGCTCCTCCAGAACCAGAACCCATTCTACTGACCTAGTTGGGCTCCATCAGCCTTTTGGCTCCTAGTTGGGTTGGAGATCAGAGAGGGAAGAGATAAATCAGGTATTCATTCTCCCAGTTTTTCCCTGTAAGGTCACCCTAGTCTGGCTATGTCCTTTGATTCAAGGTCATGCTCCTTACGAGGCAGCTGATTTTACATGATTCCCTCCTTCCAGGTTTTGGGAACTTAAACTTCAAGTTTTTTTTTTTTTAAAGATGACCGGTAAGGGGATTTCAACCCTTGGCTTGGTGTTGTCAGCACCACGCTCAGCCAGTGAGCTAACCGGCCATCCCTATATAGGATCCGAACCCGTGGCCTTGGTGTTATCAGCACCGCACTCTACCGAGTGAGCCACGGGCCGGCCTTAAACTTCAAGTTTAAGTTTGCTAAGAAATCAGTTGCTCCTAACTCTGGGGGAAAGCACTGTTTTCCCCTTGGTATGGTTTGGAGTATGCCATGTGTTTTCCAGTGGCACCTGACTTTCAAAGACTGTGCAGTTTAGAAACTAAACTGTCATTCTTGAGTAGCTTATGGCACCCCCTCTCCCATAATTTGAACCTAATTCGATCACTAGTACCTTTATATTAGGTCAGGGGTTGTATCTTGGGGACAAGCTTAGATTGCCTGTAACCTACCATCTCTTACTACTTCTGGCCAGCTAAGGGACAGCATCACACATAAGGGGACTAGCCTGCCTATTTGTACAGATGATCACAGCCTAGAATTGGTGAAACTCTTGCTCACTGTCACCCTTCAAACCTTATCTTCAACAATGTTTCAGCTGTAATCAAAATACCCTAATTTCAGTGAGGCAATAGGCAAATATGAACCAGAAGAAAACATGAAAAGGACATAGGATCTATTTCAACTTCCTAGGACCCCCAGAGCCTTCTCAGGGGAATGATGGAAGGGGGAGGGCTGCTCAAGAAGTAGGTCTGCCTCTGCCACTAATTAGCTGGGTGACCTTACATGGTGCACGTAGATCTGTTTTGCATGCCTACCTAGCATTTGAGCTAACTGAATTCCTGCTTCCGGATATGTAAAACATGGAGATAAACCAGTTCTCAGTTTTACCCAGATCTCTTCCAGCTGAAATTGTTTATAAAAGCAAAGTATTTTAAGAATTCCTGTGATCATGGCATCTTAAGGTATCATTTTAAACTACTGTAAGTAGTACAGGTTTGTTACATAAAATTTAGAAAACTTTTTTTTTTAATTTAGCAAGGATTAAAATAAAATAACCCATAAGGACAATATAGTTTTGAGCAGCACCAGCCACAAACTAAGCTCAGAGCAAGAGAGGATAGGACCCAGCGATGGAAGAAGTAGCCAGGAAGCCCAGAGACTTAAGGAAGTATCTTAAGGTGTGAGAATGATGGGAAACCATGGTCCGATCACTCCAAAAGCAACTTTTTAAAGCTGTAGTTTATTTCTTTCTAGGTGTTTTTCAATGCAAGAGGATTGGATCATCATCTTTATCATTTTAATGCCACACTGAAATATTTTTTTCTTGAAAAAAAGCACATGTGGTTGTCTATCAATCAGTTCCCCTACTATTTAGTGAAAATAGTAGGAAAAGTAGAAATAATAGTAGCGTGCTGCAGTGTATGGTTTGATATGCCTCTGGTCGCTTACTCAGATAAATTCCAAGAAGAAGAGTTAGGTGGAAGAACGGAAGCATTTTAAAGGATTTTTGATAAATTTTTCAAATGACTCTCCAGAAAATTCAGATCCATTTACACGCCCAGCAACAGTATAGGTGTATATTTCCAAGTCATCTTTAATACACAGGACATGGTACACCCAGGGACAGAGCCCAAATTTTCCATTTTACCTGTGATGATATTGACACATCTTCTTAATTTATGGCGAAATTTTACTATCAAAATCAGAAAAGCCACCAAAGTCAGAAAAAACACCAAAATTTGAAAAGCTATTTTCCAGGAAGCTGTTTCTTGGCTCAGTTCTAAATAAAACAAAGAAACAAAGTCTGTGAACTGGAAGAAAAATCACCAAATAAAAAAAGGAAAAGCGTTGGTAGGTGGGTGGGGGTAGAGTATGTTTACTATTTTTTAAACTAGTTATTCTTGCATTCCAGGCAGGAGGCAGAATTCATATGAAACACTTTGCATAATGAAAAGGCCCTTTAAAGATAAAGCCAAGAGTCCAGTGTGGTTGGGAGAGTTTGTCATGAGCATAAATAACTTTCGGTCTCAGTAATTCTATTGTGGGAAACATACAGACACTTTAATATTAATCAGTTTGGGACTGGGTGGGGTGAGGGTCAGGAGAGAAAAGTGTCTGAAAATTTGACAAGCAATGAGTCTATTATGCATTTTAAGTTTCTATTGTTTCATATTGTCATGAAGGAATCAACACATTTTTACCAAGGGATAATCAGGACCACAAACTAGCCTCAACCCAGCATTCCTTTTGGAGGAGGAAGGAAGGATACAGTCCACCACTGGCTTGGAGAAGACAGTGTCCTAGAGGAATAGTGATAAGTTCAGAGGTGATCAGAGAAGCAACAGCTGACAGATGACCACTGGGATAATAGATAGTGCTTGGAGTACCTCAGGAATAACTGGAAGTGTCTGACCTAGCATTTCGGTCAAGACTAGAATTCTTGTAATTAGTATTAAAGGAAGTAAAGAGCTCTGAAGGCAGAAATTTGGAGACCTTGGATTACTAAAGTCAGAACTCCACTAATCTTGTGATATATGTTCTACCAAGGAGTGGGGAGAAAGTGTTAGAGTACAGAGGCCAGTTCAGGAGAGAAAAATGTTTATGGGTTCTTTAAAATTATTAGCTCTATTAATATAACAAACATCAGTTTTTATGATTATGCTGTTATTGCTTAATAATGTTTTGCAATCAATACATTAATCTCTCCACCTATTTGTGTCATTCTCTAATCCCATACACAGATACATTAAGTAGAAATGTTAAGGTGACTTTCTTAAATATTTACATGTGCATTTTTTTCCTCCTGAAGAAAACCCTGAAGTAGAGCTGCTTCTCCATTTCTCTGTGACCCTCAGTTCCCCCATCTGTAAAGAGATTTGCCCAAGGTCACATATTGATGCAGCAGCAAAATTTAGCAAGAATTGTTTAATTTAATTCAGCTCAGTGCAACCTTTATTGAGCAGATCTAGACTCTAGAAATCATACTCCTCCCCTTCCCCCCAACTGGGTCTTCTTTTCAAATGTCCTGGGCAAGGCAGCAAATGGAAAAGGGCAATTCAGAATAGAAGACCAGGTTTCCTCGAAAGGGTGATGTCTAGGGTTCCAGGACTGTTTGCCCTGTTCTCTGTGCTGCTGCGGGTGGGGGAGGGTGGTCCTGCTACAGGCCTCTTCCTGGGGAGCAGTGTGGACAGACCCTCACCCAGTCCCAGTTGGCCAGTGCTTACTTGGGAATGAGAGGTTCTGAAAATCCTCTTTTCTTTGTCAGAGGTGGAATTGTCCTGATGCTTCGCTTTGTGTGAACCAAAAATTAGATATCTGGTTAGGAAGATAGGCCATGTGTGGTCTTCAGACCATTTCTTTCCGATTATTTTTCTATACTCCAAAGTGAATCCGACATGAGGCAACATTTTAAAAAATAGAATGCAGGCTTAACTGTATTTTACATAAAACTGACACTCTTATTTTGGAGAAAAATAAGAGCTTCAAATGCATCCCTCGTTTTTCATTGTATACTTTTAAAGTGATAGCTCTACAAAGTGTTATCACTCAGTGTCTAGAAGCTTCTGTGTATTTGAAGACCATATAACCTAAGGACAACTCTGCTGTTACCTCTAAAACTCATACATAGAATCACCAAACCTCCAAATCTGTTATTCCTCTAAATTTTCACAACTGGAATGATAGAAGTATTTCTGAAACATATGTTCCACTGACTCAAATATCTTTATTAAAGGGTAGAAAGAGAGCTATCATGGTCTCCCATGATGCCAAGTTGACAGCTTAAGGGTAAGGGGACCAACCAACTCACCTAGAAAGCCAAATTTATGAGTATAAACTCAATGGCTCTTTGGTAAGTTGACTAGAAATAGTTTAAATGATAAGTTTTGCCAGTTAACTATCAACAGAGATTGAAAGGGAGCTGAATCAGGCATACTCAGTGCTTCAAATGTTGTGTAGTATGGTGACTATTTCCACCACGTTCACAGACAATGCCATGTCTCCCCAGCATCTGGAGGGGCCCCAATTCTAACTTCCTACTATGCCTACAGCCTCAACCCTGAAACCCAGGCCTGTGTAATGGGCACAGTGGTGAGCCAGAATTGAAGATACCCAGCCCACAGACTCACCAAAATATACAGATTTGTCTTCATTTCTGAAGCCCTGAAACCCAGAAAAGGAAACATTGTGGGAGTAATTATTTTTTCTCAACACAGGACTCATGTGTGGTTGAAGGAGGGAGGGTGGTCTACCATCCTGACCGGAGTATCCTTGTAGATAACATTTTGAGAAGTACTAATGTAAAGTATTCTTTAAAAGCCAACCTAACTTCCCTGCTTGATAGTCACAAACCTCTACTGCTATAGCCAAAACCCATTATGCAAGCCTACTTACAACTTACCTACATGCACTGTGTGCATGGTAAGTAAAGTATATTCACTTGAAGAAATATTGCATAAATATTCCCCACTGTCTGCAAGACGAAGATCTGTCAAAGTCATAGAGAAGTCACTCTGGTTGATCAGCTCTTTGTTCCATGAGAATCGGGGTTCATAGATAATTATATTTTGTGAGGAGCTCAGATAGCAAGCCAGAACCGAGGAAGTCCCACTTTCCACTCTGGACCAAGTAACTCTGAAGTCTTGATTTGGTGGAAAAAATTTGTTTACAAGTTGACATGAGAGGGGAACATGTTCCCTTTGCATTTTATGAGGGCTGTCTAACAACAGAATAGAAAAAGAAACATCAGTGAAGACAACATTTTTTAACAAATTTTTCTAAGTTACACTTAGAAAGCAGGGAAGGAAGACTAATTTTGATGTCTTTGGAAATACCTTTTTAAAAAGCAATTAGATATTTGTGCTGTGGAGTTTCTTGAAAGAAAAGCTTTACTACCATTATTTTAAAATTTCCCAGCAAGGTTAATTTAGGTCTTCAAGGGGGGCTCAGCCAGGGTCGGGTAGGGAGGTGGCAACCTGGGTTTTAACTCCTACAGCCTGCCAGTAAGCACTCGGGAATGTCACTGCCAGTTCCCAGCCTTTCTATGTTGATGTTCTTCTGTTGACTCCTCAATGGCTGGTGTTCCCCAGCACTGCCCTCTTGTTACTCTACTTACTCCCTAGGGGTCTCTGTTACTTTTATTGACTCAACTACTTCTCAATCTCCCTATCTAGACAAAGTCTCTCATCCTGCATTGTAATCCTGTAATCCCCCAGTGGATTGAGCTCTTTCAGAAGAGAGGCTCTGCTGGGTGTTCCCGGCTTGCCCGTTCTGTAGTCCTGTACACTGGCCTTATGGACTGCCATAGATTGTTCTTCCTGGCTCTGGACTCACCTGCATTCCAGTCCACTTATGGGAGAGTGATGCCAGAGCAAGCCTTCTAAAATGCAAATCCGGCATCTCACTGATGCTTCAAATTCCACCTCCAGACCCACTTCAAGCTCCTTAGCAAAATGTAGGAGGCCTCTCATCTGTTTTTTTGGCCCCTCCCTCTCCAGGTTCATCTCTTGATACTCTAGTTTCACCCTCAACTACCTTATACTTTCACAAATGCAGACAATTTTGCTTTTCTGTGCTTTCGTATGTACTATGCTTTTTACCTGGAATGCCTATGTTCTCCTGGAATCTCCTACTACTCTTTTAATTCTGCACTTATGCATCTTCCTTAAGCCTATATTCTGTAACAACCCCATTCATGCCCAACCATGGTAAACAGAATTAATCACTCCCATTGCATGCTATGTTCCCAGATTAGTTTTATTTTTACGTGTTTGTATAAAATGCTGTGGATCCAGAAATAAGAGCCCACATTCTTATGTTCACAGTCTGAGAGTGACAGTTTGGCACATAATAAATTCTCAATAAGACAAAATGGTACTGAGCCTAAGGAAATGTTAATGCTTCAGCTACTCAATTCTGAAAAAACATGAGAAATTATGATTCTCCAAAGAAAATATTCACAATTTAATATTTATGGTTTCAACCCTTTCCCATGTTTCCATTGCTGCCTGGCTGATGGAAAATGAACATTGGAGCTCATGCCTTTAACACTGGGCTCATGTGAAGTTGGTGATTCACTCAGAATTTCAGTATTATTTTGGCAAGCATTTCAAGAATATGAAATCCTGGGGAAAGAATAATTAATCTCCACTTTCCCCAAACAGGGAAGATTTACAGAAAATTTTTGCCTTTTTACTAATGAAATCTAAAACAATAATTTTGCTTAGAATTATATAGGGATATATCAAATTAATTTTTCTTCCCTTAATATTTTCTTAAACAGTAGGTTATAGATATAGAGATTGATCAGAGTTTGGGTTTATTCAAATAAATGAGAGGAAGGAGTGTTAAAAACTGATCATGGGGCCGGCCCGGTGGCGCACTGGAGAGTGCGCCACTTGGGAGTGTGGTGGCGCTCCCGCCGAGGGTTTGGATCCCATGTGGAGACCGGTTCCTGCTCACTGGCTGAGCGCGGTGCGGGCACGACACCGAGGGTTGCGATCCCGTTACCGGTCAGTAAAAAAAAGACAAAAAGGAAAAAAAAAAAAAACTGATCATGCCATGATAGAAGTGTTGGATAAAGATTACTGGGTCAAAATTACGTAGAGATTAAACGGAAGCTATTAATAATAACTAATTTTTTGTTTAGTTGAAAAATCAGGAAGAATCAGAGCTTGCGACCTGCTAAGGTCCTTTCTTCTCCTGTGATCTTTTAAAGTGCAATGCAGGCAGAAAATCCTGTTTGGAGGATGAACCATAGAGAAATATAGTGATACTCATGAATAGATTTGCTTCTTTTCGTTTTATAAATGTTCTCATTCAACTCATAAATACCTACCAAAGTAAAAATAATTTTCATTTCATCAATGAGGAATGAATGCTCAGAAGTAAAAATGATTGTTTCATATAATACAGCCAGTTAGAATTAACCCTATGAATCCAGAATCAGTGTTCTAACTGCCGCAAATGGATTTTCTTTCCTTTCTTTTCCTTTCTTTCCTTGTGAACCAATCCCCGTTACCTCCCAACCTCTTTTATGCAGAAAGTCCCATGGAGCCTACCTTCCATTGTCCATCGCCCTGTCCATGTTTGCCTCAGCAGTGAATTTTCAATAGCACATTCATAAGATGAATTTGATCCTGTAATATTCAGTGTACTGTTAATATAAAAAGGACCCAAAGACCCATCTTCTTCTGTATTGCTTTGCGAGACAGGTGTACGGTCCATTTTCCATGTGATAAGTGGACGAGGATAAACACTTAACACACTGCATACTAAGAAGCGGTCTGTGTGCCTCTTTTCGTACTTCAGCACAGGCATGAGGAAAGCTATGTGGGAGAAAGAAGGGCATGTGAAGAACTGTCAGCATTAACTTCTTTTTAGGCCATCTGTGCAGAACTCTTTTTACTACCCATGAAATGAAAAGCTAAGTTTTATGAGCAAAACTCAGCAGTTACTGAAAGGAAAAACAAGACAAAAACTCTGTAGAACCTGAATATATAGTGTGGTTATCTAGAAGGAATCAAACAGAGCATGGTGGGCACACGGCAACCAGCCATCTCAATTCTCTAGAAACAGAGGTGAAAAAGAAATCTAATGGCCTCACTGAGCAACCAATTGTGGGTGTCCCTCACATTGTGAGACGAGCACTCTGAACTTTCCAGATATGACTAACTCTTTATTTACGTATAGTTCTTAGATTTCTGAGTCAAGGTCTGAAGCAGCTAAATGGGACAGGGAGAAAAGGAACAAGTGCTGGATAAGACCCCCTACGAGAAAACACCCCCGTCATATACACACACACACGTGTGCGCACACACTTAACTATATGTTGTTATACTACATATTAGCTATATAATATATCAATAATCAGCAGCCTGGTCATTAACAGACCACATTAAGAACCTTCAGTAGTCTGATTATTAGAAACAAGCCTTGGGCCAGCCCATGGCTCACTCGGGAGAGTGCGGTGCTGGTAACACCAAGGCCACGGGTTCAGATCCCATATAGGGATGGCCGGTTCGCTCACTGGCTGAGCGTGGTG